AAAATTAAACCAAACCCTAGAAACCTCAACTTTTTCTAAAGAGTTTACCAACTTTTATCACCTCTGAAGATGGACAAAGGGATTGTGAAAAATCGACTTGCCAGCACTTAATCTCTCGCTTTCTTTTTCTAATTAAGAGGCATCTCAGTTTAGGGTTTTTGTCTTTGTGTCTGCTTTGTTTTCTTGAGAAAGCTTCTCAGTGTCTACCTGGCTGCACTGTTTCCTGAATGTGCACCACCATGTCCTGGAAATTTCCTCCCTCTTCCCCATCCTTTTCCCATTCTTTTTTTTTTCCCTTCCTTTTATTCTTTCCTCTCCTCCTAGCCTTTCCTCTACCAACAAGTTTCGTTGTTTCTTTTTCTAATTAAGTAAACTACATCTCTTTAAAGTTTTTCCTGTTTGTGTCCTTTTCACTCCTTGAGGTACTTACATTCCACGCATGTGAATTCTTTAACGAGTCCTGTTGGTACTTAACTGCCCTCAGAATTATCTCAAAGAAATAAAGCAAGAAATGATCACTGTGTTCTAAAGCCAGTGAAGCCAAGCCCAGGCTTATAGACTTTTCTACCTTTCCATCTCAGCCCTGCAGCAGGTTTAACACAGTCCTGGAGAGGCCCCAGATGCTAAGCAACTCACTGGACTTTGTTTGTCCAGACTATAGCAGATACAGCCTTGGAAAGTGCAGCTGAGCTTGACCTGGCTTCCCAGCAATCAAACCCAGTTCATGGAACAGGGCTAGAAAGAAAAGTTTACAGCCTCAAGGATACAAGTGATTACAAAGTACCAGAAACAGCCAAATAAGGGGAAGAGGGGAAGATAGGAACACTGAGGAAAGTTAGAGTGAAAGGAAACAAAAATGTCACCCTGAATCCCCAGAACAGATTAGTAAGTTTGTATTTTATAGTGTGTGTGTGTGCGTGCGTGCGTGCGTGCGTGCGTGCGTGCGTGCGTGCGTGCGTGCGTGTGTGTGTGTGTGTGTGTGTGTGTGTGTGTTAGGTTGTTGACTATGAGTTTAGCTTTGTTATGTCTCACCCAAGCTTACACAATAACCCAACTCAGAAACTTTTAAGCCACTAAAAAAATGATGGGTGTGAAATTAATTAGGTAACACAGATCCACTGGAAGGCCCATGGAAAAGCATCTCTCAAACTAAAGAGATGTGAGCCTTATCTGTTCTCATAACTAGAAACAGTCATGGGGTCACAGTATCTAATGGAAGATGGAAGAGGACAGGGAGGGATTACAGGAATGGTAATATCCATTGCAATTGGCTTGAGTATCAGAGCACTCTTTGCTCTTCCATCTGACCCTCTTAGCATTGTAAGAGGCTGGGAGGATCCCATACTAACAGGAGAGAGAGATGGAGTGGGAACAATCATCCTGTAGCCGATGTCTGCTTCTTGGTACTATTTTGTGGCACCTTGTGGGGAAAATTACTATATTTTTAGGGGATAATTTGCATTAGACTAGACTTATATACCACCTGAAGTGGTTATTCATCACATTTCCCCAAATTCAAACACAGACATCACAAAAACAAACTGAAGAAAAATCAAGTGCGAAGCAGGGTGTCTTGTGAAGGAGGATTTCATGTTAACATTTTATAACTGAAGAGTTGCTCCTGGGTCAGGGCGGTGACATCACAGTACCTTGAAGGGCAGCTTAAAAAAGCACCTCAACAGCCCCGTTAGTAAACTGAATGGAGGTAGCTGAGTCCTTAGTGTAGTGGCGGCAGGTACTTCTCTCTCTAAACTTAAGATCTTTTCATTGTTTAACAATGTGGGAAGTATTATTTGATACATGCCGGTTAAGTTCTATTTTTTGGCTTTACTTTTGGCCGGTGCTAGGGATCAAGCACAGGCCCTTGAGCACGTGGGCAAGCACTCTATTATTGTATATCCCCAAACAGCTTTCAGATATTTTGCCAAGAACATTGTCTTTTTTTTTTTTTCCACCTGTATATTAAGGTCTAGTGATCCCTCCAGGCTCGGTCCAATTTGAACTTCTTTTGGTTCAAAGCCATTGCCACTTTAAACACAATTCTATTGCACAAAGGTTGTCACACAATTGGATGCTCCTCTGCTTTGTACACAATTATTCTCACTCTTCACAAAAAGGCTGCTTCTGAACCCCTGATGGTTTTTAACTGATAGTTAATAATGCTGCAATCTCATTTTCTAATTCCTGTAACAATTGTACTTCTTGATCTTTATCTATTTTCTTTCTGCGCAACTTCAAACTGAAGATTATAAGTGCATTCCCAATTGTTTTAGTATTTGGTAGTTCCTAAATACTCTGCTTGGGACTCCATGAATCCAAACACACCAAAGAGTCATGGAGTTGTGGTTAACCATTAGCCTTTGGGCCTTCAGGCTATTTCTAGGCTACTGAATTCCCCTCAGAAACTCACCTTTCACACACAACCAAGGCTGCAATCCCAACCATGCCCAAACTCCAAAATGGCTGGCTGCTGCTGTAATGTCCCATACTGTAAAATTGGGTGTCTTCTCAGTCAGACCCTGCCTACCTGCACCCTTTCAGTCAAATCAAAGTGTTGGGGTGTTGATCCACAAACAGATCACGATCCCACTGGACACAGGACTTTGTCAAAACTGGAAGACCTTTCCTTCTTCCCGTCCAGGTGAACTTCTGTAATGGGGTCCTGTTCCGGACCTGGAACTCCTGGCAGGAGGCAAGGAGACTTGGCTTTGCACACACCAATTGTGAGAGACGTTTGTGTGTCTAGCATATACCATCATAGAGCCCCTTCATGTAAGCTCACCCAATGTGTGTCTTTGGAAAGTTACTCATGACTTATGGTTTTGAGTATCTCTCTATTGGAAGACAAATAGTGTGTTGGCTCACTCATTTTTTTTTTCTTTCTTTCTCTGAACATTGGCTCATCTCTCACGGCTCTGCCCTTCTTGCTTCTATGAACTCCTTCTCCCAGCACCCCTGCCCTTGGACACTTGTGGGAGAGGAATGCACAAATTCCTTTGAGGTTCCATCACTGGAACACGTTCTCAGAAGCTGCAAACAGGAAGTTTTTGTACTTCTATTTTGTGCTTGGGGCAAAACTGGCCTGCAGTTAAGAGACTGCAAAAAAGAAACGCGAAAGTCATGCAACCTTCACGATCTCTTATCTAAAACTTTTTTATGAGGACACTGCCATAGATCCACCCAAGGCAGAACTGGTGTCTCACGTGCAAGGCAGAGTGCCCTGCCGGCCAGAAACGTCAGGTTATAGCCCCCCCAAACTGCCTCCCTCCACTTTTCCCATCTTGAGCGGGACATTTCCAAAACAGTTCGGGATTTCTAAGTTTTCAAGGCGTCCAGGGGGCAGTCCCCTTTGGCAGGGACACTGCAGAATGGGAGCCGGAGAGGAGCTGAGGTCGGTCCCCAGGGGTCGCAAAAATCCTCTCCACCTCCCCCGGAGCCCAGGGCTGCTTCACCTTGCCTCTTCCTTCAGCTCACGGAGGGGCCAGCAGCGGCAGCAGCAGCAGCAGCTCTCCTGCGCCTGAGTTGCTTGGCCTCCTCCATAACACCATTCATTGGGTTGCCTCCCGGGGCACCAGGGAAGCCCCAGCCACGCGCCAGGGCCCTGGCTCAGGTACGGGGATCCCCTGGCAACTCCGGGCGGAGGAGGGGGGCGGGGGAGCCCTAGCCTCAGGGGCGGGTAGTCTAATGGGCAGCGTTGACCCCCCCCCCCCTTACCCCCCTCCCCACCCCCCCGGAGGCGGGCCCAGGCCGGAAGCCACCCGCGGCCCCGCGAGACCGCGCCCCCGCCTCCTCCTCCTCCTCCCGTACAAGCTCTACGGCGGCCAAGGGCGCTGGGGCCAGCCCGCCGGTCCCCGCCGCGCTCTTTGTCCCGGCC